ACGTACCCATGCATATTTTTCCTTAAGAAATCAGAAAACTTTGCTGGTTTAAAGAATTTCCTTCTTTGAAATTTGTTGAAGAGAAAGGGGCAAGTAAGCGTAAAAAGTTTTTATCGCAGTTATTAGGGCGAGTTTGTGCGTCTTTGACAGCTCATCTAAATCTACTGTCATCATTAGGATAGCTCTGTTTGAAATGAGGGTCAACTTTCTAAAATTTATTTTCACAATGTCAAGCTATTACGAACTTCGTACTTCACAATGTCAAGCTATTACGAACTTCGTACTTCACAATGTCAAGCTATTACGAACTTCGTACCTCACAATGTCAAGCTGTTACGAACTTCGTATTTCACAATGTCAAGCTATTACGAACTTCCTACTTCACAATGTCAAGCTATAACGAACTTCGTACTTCACAATGTCAAGCTATAAAGAACTTCGTACTTCACAGTGTCAAGCTATTACGAACTCCGTACTTCACAATGTCAAGCTATTACGAATTTCGTACTTCACAATGTCAAATTATTACGAGCTTCGTACTTAAACCTCGATTTGATTGGATTGTAGGCCAGTGAACACAGCCTATCAGCCCTCGACAGATGGGCTGTAAAAATCATGGCTATGTGATCACAGACTTTCTGCCGAGGCGTCTGATTGGCTGTATTCGCTGGCGTACAATTCAATCAAATCGATTCATTTGCAAACTTTCTTGATACAAGAAAGGTGGCGATTGCAGTCAATGTATAAGTAAGAAGTTCATAATAGTTTGACATTGTGAAAATGTCAAATATTGGACCCGTCTGAATATTCATAGTATAGCCTGTGTGGGATAAACATTACCTTTCTTATTACCATTACCAATTAACTGCTGCTTACAATTACCTTGAAGCATTGGAGTAATTTGTAATGTTTGACATGCTGAATATATTGTAAGCGATTACCGTTACTTACAATGTAATCATTATTTGAATTGCAAATTGTCAGCAATCGTGTATATTTAAAGAAAAAAATTAGTTTTCGTTGATTTACTTTAAAATGAATGACGTAAACATTCAAAGAAAAAGAAAATGTTTAGAAATTGCATGCATCTTAAAATAGGTTTAAATGATCCAAAAATCTGAAGGAAAAAAACGCTATTATTTTGACAATAGAATGATCTACTTTCATGAAATGGGATGATAAAGCTTGAATGCACTTACTATGATCCGTAAGATATTACGAGTCTAAGCTATGGGAAAACTTAGAAGCGTGAAGCTTTATTAAATAGCTAAACGGGTGGTTAACAAAATGAAAGGCTTAAAGAAAATATCAAAGGAAACGTGTATGGTGTAGACTATTTGAAACTCGGTTATATTTTTCTAAGTGATACATCATAATCGTATACCGAAAAATCCTGATCGTCACTGCATCAAGCATCAACACAAGCGCAAAAGAGGTTATTATCAACGTTTTACGTTTTACTGTAACATTAACTTCATGAAAATTATAGAGCAATTTTGGTGGGGACGGGGTGGTCTCATATAGTCGCCCCAATCAGTCGCCTTATCAGGCCCTCACAAAACCTTCTCCGAACCTCAATTAATTTAGCCACCTCAGTCGACAAAGTAGCCAATTTGAACCTCTGACGATATAGTAACCCAATTAGAACCTCTAACGATATAGTAACCTTATCCAAACCTCAGAGAATTTAGTTAACCAATAAGAACCTCCAACGATATAGTTACCCAATAAGAACCTCTAACGATTTAGTACCCCAATAAGAACCTCTAACGTTATAGTAACCCGATTTGAACCTCTAACGATATAGTAACCAGATTTGAACCTCTAACGATATAGTATCCCGATTTGAACCACTAACGATATAGTTACCCAATAAGAACCTCTAACGATTTAGTACCCCAATAAGAACCTCTAACGTTATAGTAACCCGATTTGAACCTCTAACGATATAGTAACCAGATTTGAACCTCTAACGATATAGTATCCCAATTTGAACCTCTAACGATATAGTAACCTTATCCGAACCTCATACGATTCAGTTAACTTGCCATCCAATCCGACCCTAAAAATACTGAGTCACCCAATCCGACCCTCGGCGATTGAGAAACACTATTCGACATGTCAACGGGAAGCAGTCTATATATACACAATTACTTTTTTTGTCGCCTTACACCCTCTTTAATGTAGGTAATAAATGAGTTTCAGTCGATTATAATAGGCAAATTATAGGGATTCAAATAAGCGAGCAGAATTGTTTGAAATGATAATAAACATAAGTCTTGATTTATTAAAATAAGTAAAGCAGAACGAAGTAATAGTATATTTCAAGTTGTGTTATCCCCTTGTATTATTTTCCAAGTGTAATCATGTATAAAGGTATAAGAATGCACTTGTTTCGGGGTTTGCGTCAGAAAAGACTGTCTATTTGTTTGTCCCAATAGATTTTAACAGCTAAAGTCAAATACAATAGCTCAATCTATCTTGCAAACCATTTAAATTATATTATTATTTCGTTTTGTGCTTTTTCACATTCCATAGTTTAAATCTTTAACCTTTGAAACTGAATATAAATCCGAAACGAAATGAAATAGGAAAACGATTGGAAACCAATAAGAAACAGTTGAGGCTCCGAAAGAGGTGTGTGTGTTTGGGGGAGGGGGGGGGGGGCGCTCAAAAGGCACAGAAATACATTTTTGGTGGAAATGTGTATTGTTTCATTGTTAAAATGTAATAATATTGACAGAACACTGTTTCAAAATGCAAAATTCATGTTTTGTCCGGGGACACCCACCCCCTATACAATGGATTCGAAAATATTTGATTCGCTCCAATTTCATTTTTATTCTAAAGATGTCATTTTTATAATATAACTTATTTCCAATTTGATATATTTCAGAAATAGAAGAGTTTTAATACCGGCCCAAGAAGATGCCCCATACAGGTAAATATGATTTTTTTCTGCTCTCACAGACAAGATTTCAACAATAATTTATCACTTGGTGAAAAGCAAAAATTGCAGAAAAGATTAAATGATAAAAATATTCAGGTATTTTATTCAAAAAACGCATCACAATCTGTATGAATGAGTTGTACTATATATTGAATGAATTTCAAATAGTCCTACTGAAAATTATAATAAAAATTTGAATTGCAAATAATTGAATTTGGCATTGGAACACAAATGTGCTTGATGAATTCTGAAATATTCGATTTTCGATTTACCGATGAGAGCGTGAAGGCAGTAAATGTAGAAGATATAAGGGGATGAAAGAGAGGTATTTAAGTTCACGAATTGCTATGCAATTATGAAACTTTATGAAGAATTTTGAAAGTTTGGTCAATTTACCGATGAGAGCGTAATGGCAGTAAATGTAGAAGATAGGGGATGAAAGCCAACGCTTGATCGGATCCCAAATTACCGCACCCTCTTTCCTAACTTGAGTGTGTGAACATGATAGTTTCTCAGAAAGGTATTTAAGTTCACGAATTGCTATGCAATTATAAAATCCTGATAGTAATCATTGTGAATCATTCAAACTACACCTCATCGCATTTCACTTTTTATGCTTTTTTTTTCTTTTCCTTATCGACGTTAAGTGTAGAGCGATGTGTACGAAAATTTCTACCCAAATTGTAAATTGGTGCAGATTACATCGATATGTGGGTACAGATTTATCGGCGTTTCTTTGATGTATTTCGCGCTACCTGTATTAATTGTAGACAGTTAAATAAGAAATTGTGTAGCTTGGTTCCACCTGAGTAAAATATAATATCATCTAACATCTTTTCGTTTTTTAAATAAGATCATTGTCTTTTTTGAAGAGAGCCGTCGAGTTTTTATGACTATATAAAAATAAGGGTGTTTTTGAAATCAGTGTGAATTGAACTGTATGGGTAAACACACTGTAATGATGCGGAGATAATGAGCTACACGACTTTGATCAAGTATGACGGACAAGAAAGACCGGTTTTCAATTCTTCTATCGCCTATTAAAATATTCAAAAAAGAGAAAACTCATTTTCAGAATGGCAATCATTTCATTTCGTTTCAAAAAAAAATTGGGATTTTCAAATCACGAATTTTAACAATAGTTTATTAAATCTTCTTTTATGGAGATAATTTTAGATATTATATTATTATTACCCATACATCTGTTTTATTTTAACGAATCAAAAATCTACTACATGAAATGCTTAACTACCTCAGGAACTGGTTGAACCATGTCTCTGAATGAATTTTGTCTTTCATTTCACAAATATTCAAAATATATAATTTCGATTACATACTATTTTCCTAAGAATGACCTTGTTTCCATAAAAAAAATACATTAAACTTGGTAAAAACACTATGCAAAAAAATGAAAAAAATAAATTCCCTCACAGAAATCATTATTGAACCAATGATATTTCAGATGTATTTTTTAATGGTTGAAATTTTTGTCAACCAAAGGACGATTCCAAATTACTAAGTTCTTAAATATAGCGTCTGGATAACATAAACTATAAACTTTGGATTCTTTTGAATGTAAGATTAAGAGACTCGATCGAATAATATCTCTATGTATACAAGATCTGGAATTTGCAGTTTTTGAAGTCAATTGATTCTTTATTTGATGCCGATAGAAGTTCTTTTAGAAGCCAAAAGCTCCCCAATGGGATACTTTCAATTGTTCCAGAAAATATTATCTTATACCTTAGCTTAAAGATGGGTTTCCTTATTTTTTAGTGTCAAATTAAGCAAACTATTTGCCAATGAATTATCATGTATTCTTAATCATATTATTATGTTCTTATTGTATATAATTTTTATATAAGTTTTAAGTTTTAATCAATCATAAATGTCCATGTATGTACAGTCTGGATAAACAAAAAAAGACTTTTTGACCTTTTTTGATCAGTCACTCATTGGAATTCTTCTGATAATTCTCTTCTAATATAGCTAATTATGAATTAAATTATCTTTAATTTCTGTGTATACTTACCATCTCTTCATCCTCGCTTCAGGTCAAACTGGTGTGAACCAGTTGGGAGGTGTATTTGTCAATGGAAGACCATTACCAGACCAAGTTAGAAGACGTATCGTAGAATTAGCTCAGATGGGAGTTCGACCTTGTGATATTTCTCGCCAATTGTTGGTTTCACATGGATGTGTTAGTAAAATATTAACACGGTTTTATGAAACCGGTTCTATTAAACCGGGTTCCATTGGTGGAAGCAAACCAAAAGTAAGTACTTGTACTTACTTATAATTCTTTGGAACTTATAAACTAAAAGAAAAATGTGAAATTTTAGAAACCGTGTAGGACTAGGCCTATATTCTTTACAAACTTTAAATAACGGAACACAATTTTATGGTATACTACTCCTGAGTTTTATTGTCCACAACGTTTCAACAATTTACAATTTTTCACCTGATTGTGACAATGTAGAAACGTTGTGTAAAATAAAATTAGGAGTAGTATACCATAAAATTGTGTTCCGTTATTTAATGTGATCTCTACCCCTAAATGTCGCTTAAGGATTACTTACAAAATTTTGTAACTTTGTTTTTCAGCAAGTAGCAACGCCATTGGTTGTGAGAAAAATACTGGAATTAAAGCAACAGAACCCTTCAATATTTGCCTGGGAAATTCGTGATCAACTTTTGGCACAGACAGTTTGTGACGATAACACCATTCCTAGTGTTAGTTCTATAAATAGAATATTACGGAACGCCAGTATGTGTTCAGACTATTCCTTTGAGACGGATATGCTGACCTCCCGTTTCAGTGCCACTGGACCACCTCGTCCTGCGGTTCCAACCTTTTTACCAACTTCTCCATATCCACCATCTTGGTTCCCCTTACCAATACCAGTTCCAGGTTTGTCCTATCCTCGTTTAGTACAACCATTACCAACTACTGTGGACAGAGATACTCGTCAGAGACTCGGTCTGGAATCAATTTCTCCAGATCCAACAACACTAGGAAGTTCTAGTCTACCAGGCGATAAGCCTAGATCATCTAGACCATTGGAAAGAAGTGAGGATTCAGCTTTCAAACGTAAGGTAGACGAAGACACCAATTCTGGTATGTAAATTTTTGAATTTGTTTCTATCTTGTATAAATATGACGTGATGTCGGTGGCTAATATTGATTCCTATTGATTGTCATATCGCCAATGAAATGAAAATCATATGAATGTTATATAGTTTATTGGATGTTTAAATATCTTTCCAATCTTACACTCCTTTTTAAAAATAAAAATCGAGGGGTTTTTACCCCCCCCCCCCCCCCCCCTCTCCAACAAACACACTTTCAAATTTCTAAGCATTATACATACAGAGAGAACTGCCTGTTAACCCCCGTTAGAATTCCATTAGGTCCCTTCACATTTTGAATCTTAGTAACGCCACAGTTAATGCTTAGATAATGCTTCATACTGCACTGTGAATAACATATTTCAATGCAAGTATAATGATTATTAATGAAGCGATTGATTGGAGTTAAAACTCTAATCGACTTGAACAGTTCACATACAATCTCTTATCAAATATCTTTTAGAATCCATGAATTAAACCGAATATTATCTTTTCAATAATATTACCTCTTAAACAATAGCTATGTTTGGTTCCATATGGTAAATTTTCTTTAAAATACTCTAAAATATTGGAAAAATTGACTGACAGAGCATGTTTCCCGTCAAAATAACAGGTTTAATGAGACAAAATAACAAAAGAGCTTTTTGATTATTGTACTATTATTTCATATTTTCAAACTAATTCAATACTGTATTGAATACATTGCTTTTATTCACGGTCGACGTCAAGGATCACTTCTAACGCTACCTTTCTTAATGTGTCTTAATAATGAACCTGTCAATATTGAATCAAATCAATGAATGCGATCTAAGGAAACAATATTTTGTTAAATAATATGAAGTCAATCTGTTCGTAATTTTCTTGACATGCATCACGTGCCAAGACATAGCAAGAAAATGGCGGAAAAATATTCTTTATCGGAGTATTGTGGTGGCAGAAAACCGATTTCAATAATTGACATTTAATATTCTTTTTAACTATATATTTTTTGACGTTTTTAAAATATATGTATGATATTTTTGTATTTTTATTTATTTTTCAAAAGTCACAATATTCAAGTTTCGTTTAAATTCGAAAATTGGTTCATCAGGCCTAAAACGGAAGCATCATTTTTTTAAACTTTGACTTTTATTTTTAGAAAATTTTAATAATTTATTTTCCTGTTCTCAAAATTGAAGCAAAAAATTAGAACATAAAACTTCGTGGCATTTTCTTCTTTGTACGAAATCATAGAAAATCGAAATGAATGCCGTTTTACGGTCTACTGTCTACACCTGATTGTATCAAAAATTGGATCGAAAGTTTCGCAGTGTGGTTCAGGTTCTCTGAATGTAATTTTCAATAAATCTAATACACTTCTTAAGTCAGTGGTTTCTAAATGAGATGAAATACTGAATAATTAAAATCTGTATTAATCGCTTGAACAGATAGATATCTTCTTTCGTGAGCATTACAGTCATTATTATCTCTACAACTAATTCAATTTTCCTTGAACTTTTAATTAATATCAGGAAGAATATTCGGGTCATGGGCGTTTGTAAACGGTGGGGTATCTTTGAAAATACGTTTTTCATTTCCCAATTGTTAAAGATGGGTTCCCTTATTTTCATTTATGACAATGAAAATGCTAATACTTATATGAATAGAAAGTAAAGCTGTTCTAATGACTTGGAAAAATATCAGTTTGTCTCACAAAGCCATAATTAATACATAATTAGCTAAATAAGAAGAGAATTACAAGAAGAATTCCAGTGAGTGACCGGTCAAGAAAGGTCAAAAACTTTGTTTTGTTTATCCAGATTGTACTTAAATGGACATTTATGATCGGTTTCAATTCTTAATTTTATGCTATAAGAACATATAAGATTTAGAATACATGATAATTCATTGGAAACACCAACGGATCAAATAGTCTGCTTAATTTGAAACTAAAAATAGGAAAACCCATCTTTAATCATAATAGCCTTGATTTGGAAATTTATAAATTTAATCCACAAAAATTCATTTTTATTGTTCGTCTTCTTTGCTTTATCAAGTATGCATTAAACAGTAGGATGTAAAACTCCGTGTTATTTTTTCGATGTTAAAACAAAAACGATTGAAAAATTAAAAGAAAAAAATTCTGTCAAAAAATTTCATGCTCGATCATACATAATCCGTAACATTGATAACACTGCTAATCCCTTAATCCAAAATCCTAAGACTATAAGAGATAATTTCAGATAAAATCCATTACTCGCCAAAAGGAAAAGATAAGGTTTCCTTTAAGCCAAGTTGTCAATTTGGCATATATAGCTTTAACTTTCGCCAACACAAGTGGCAGGTGTTTCTCTTGTTTGATGAATGGTTTGATAGACCACAAAAGTTGATTAAAATTTCGAGACGGTGGAAATTATTCTGATGTTAAACTGGGAAATAGAATAGACGAAGGAGGGATGTGTGAAGATTATTATCATGTTTATATTTCTACTTGGGAATAATTTATGACCAGCTTTACCTCATTAAATTATCACAAATACAAAATACTCAACATTTGTCAAATTTAGAATTCTAATTTAACATTATGATCAAATCGGGAGTAATTTTGATGTATTTGCCACCCATAACTTTTTGTTATAAATACTGTGATTCTACAATACAACATACACAGTTCATCATCAAATACAACAATGACAATATTAAATAATATATTACACAACACGGCACATGCAGTCATAAATATAACAGCATCAATATAATATATTATAATACACACACAACAACACAGCATAGATATAGCAGTATAAAAACACAATATAAAACAACACAAAGCTTAAATACAACAGCAGTCAACAGCAATACAACTACATAAAGAACATATCAACATCACACAGCATAAACTATTAAATAACACATAACATAAATACAACATCACGCAACAGTAATATGAAAACAAAGAAAACATATCAACTTAGAATATAAAACAACACAAAATAAATACAACATCACACAACATCGATATGACTGAAGAAAAACACACACAAAATAAAACAACATAAATACAACATCACGCAATTACGATATGAGTACGAAGCAAATATAAGATCATAAAATATATAACAAAACACAACAAGACTACAACATAACACAGCATAAATACAACAACACACAATATAAATACAACAAAACACATGACAACAAAACCTAATATGCAAGCATATGTCCTATATTATTTTTTGGATATTCTAGTCTGAAATCACTTAAATACTAAATAGTAATACGATACCATCAAACAATCCAAAATGCAACCATGAATACTTTTCATATATGAATTCTGTTTCGTAAAAAGCATAAATTTATAGCAAGTGGATCCCCCGTCGTCTTAGTATTCTACACCCCACATATTTCATATGGAAATCACTACAAAAGCTATTTACTGTTTTAATAATGTTTCTCGTTATGCTTAACAATGCAACTCGCTATGGTTTCGCTCCTGCGACTTGATAAGTGGTCTGTTTGAAAACTGTTTAATAACTCTCGGTGAAATGGTGTCATTTTTATCAATGAAAAAATAAATTTAACCGTCTAATATTTATATATTTTCATTCAACTTCTGACATCCCAATCACAACGGTGTTTATCCTCCGTAACAAAATAGTGCTCTCCATCAAGTTGAGAATGATAGGTGGCAATTAACTGTCAAATAACGTCGTATTGTGCGTTTATTGCAAGGATTTTGCGTTTGATTTCAAGAGTTTTAACAACACCCTTATGTTATACTTCACTATTTTTCAGACACGTCAAGTGACAACCGACCAACATCAAATAAAAGGATCCGTTTGGAAACAGAAGACAGTGACAAGGAAGGGGAGATAATCTCAAAGACCCCCCAAGAGGAGGAAATCAAAATGGAGGACAAGTGTTTCAAACCACCGCCCATCGGTTTATCAAAACACACAAGCAGACCCCTTTATTTCGGACTCAATTCACGATTGACGACGTCAGTTGGTGTTTATCCACAGGATTCCTTATGTGTCCCAAGAGTTATGCCTTATCCACTTGTAAACACCAGTTTTAGTCCCCTTCATCATCCGCAATCAATCCGTTCATTTTATCCATTCCATTTAAGTCCGTTTTCACCTAGTTCTAGCCATGTGTCACCGTCGTGAAATTCTGTGTATGTTTCTCTTGTCGATTCATGTGTATGTTCAACGTTTACCACGACACCGACGAGGCCAATACGAAGGGAAACTGTTGATAATTGAAAATACAATGTTGTACTAGAAATGTTGGCAGACTTTGACTTTAAAAATATATCATTTTTTTTGGGGGGG